TATAGATTTTTGGAACGGAGAAATATTTCCACAATTCAAAACTCATGATGCAATTAATAAATTAATATACTATTATAACCGTAGAAAAACATAATTTTCGTCTTACACGTGTTCAATTATATTATTGATGCGATTATATAACCGACGTATTCACAGTACATAACCTACGTATACACGGTATTTGGCCAATAAAGGGGTGAGAAGTTGTTTTTAGTTGTTTTGAATCAGATTAGGAAATAATTGCTCATCCTTTTTTTTTTTTTATGTCAGAATAAATATCAAGAAAAAAAAAATATTATGCAAATAAAATGGATAAAATAAAATAGCGGACCATACAATTATTCTAGAGTATTTTCGGAGAAATAACGAATTCTGTCCACGCGCTCACATACGTAATAAAATCGTCCTGGTCCGATCGAATGACACGGCATATTGATTTCCGAATCCAGAGGGCCGATCGAATTCTATCCGTGTGGTTAATGGTGAGCGCACAGCAGAGTAATTATGTGTACTTTTTGTCACGTTGCGCAAATCAACTATTTACATTTGTTTTTTTTTTTCAAAGTCAAAACAACGAGTTCCACAACAAAGGTCAACAATGATCCGACGGCTGGAAACACAGAGTTTATTAACGCATCACTAATTTATCTCGAAACCTTTTTCGAACTTCTGCGACGAATTCACAAACAAGGAATCGCACGAAAATAAGCATAACCAACTTTTTTTCTTCCTTTTTTGAGCACAATAAAAGACCGGATGAATAGACACATCCCCCGTATGGAATTTGGAGAACGGTGGTGTAACATTTTCGTTTTCTCTACCGGGTGTTATTATACTGCGTCATTACAACATACGTTCCTTGACCCGGTAATTTGAAACATGAAATAAGACATGAAACCAAGATGTTACACGTCAATATATTAAAATTTACCGGCGAATGTTTCTCGGGGAGAATCCCCCAGGTAATGCCACGCGTCACACATTTGCTTATGTACGCTTGGATTCTCCTGCGAAGGAGAGGTATGAGTCATTTGACTCGATTTTTGAACGTTCATACCACTCAGCTTCCTCGAACCGAAACGAAAATAACAATTAAAAAAGGAACGGAACATGTCACTTTGCAGGTGTAAAAACTCATTTTATTTGTGGAAAACAAAAAGGTACGCGCGAGATTTTTATTTTTATTTTTTTATGCTAAACGACCTGCATTATCCATGAAAGGTGAATGGCAGATTAGGCAATTTCCTATTTCCAAGATCCACGATGACGATTATTAATTTTAATCTAAAAACTACTTTACGCAAATGAATGCATGTCAACGGATGTGATCGACGACGACAGGATTGAATCGGATGCTCATAAAGTACTGTATCATAATAATGATTCAAGATGACCAATTACCTTTTTTTCATTGGTTCAAAGTGATGGGACGAGCAGAGCGGATAAACGGTAACAATTGCTTATTCTTAATTCGTCACGGCACAATAGGCACGATATGCGGCCGCAAGAATTTCAATTCAAAAAATCAATTGCGTCGGAGTAAACATTGGGATCGTCAACGACGAAATATTGGTTGTCGAATAATTCGTCGGCAATTATGACTATAAAAAGAACAAGGAACAAATATCCAAAGTGTTTCAGAACTTTTATTTTTATTTTTACCTTTTATTTATTTTTTAATTTACACAGGTGACGCATTTGATACGCATGTAATTTGTATGCACGATGATTTCCTCAAAAAACATCAACCAGACCCAGATGCCCTTTGTAAATCATAAATTAATGCGTGCATGCTTACGTAAACATTTGATGTGACGTATAGGTACGTAGCATCGTGTAACAAGATTCACCTCTCGGGGAGAACACGAAATACGTACAATACATTTTAATAATTATTCAGGGTACAGAAATATGGTCGTTCTGGTGGAAATGCATGCAGAATGGTAATTAAACAGTGCATGGACCCGGAACTTCCAGATTTATTATTAACAGTCAAATGTTACTAATAAAACCAATGTTGTAATTAAGAATAATTTACATTACATGACATTAGAGATTATGAAGGAATTTGTTGCAGGTAAAGTGAAATTACACGATCAACGGCACTTCAGAAACAATAAGCTCCTTTGACGAGTGACGAAACGCGTTCCAAATTATGGTTTGCCTACACTCTTTCTTAAGAACAAATATTAATAATAATTTACTGTAGATGATAGATAATAAAAAATATACAGTATATTGCATTATGTGTTAGGGAAGAAGAAAAAAATATTATTATTTGATGCATAATTCAATCGTAGTTAACGCTAGGATCTTCATCTTAACGTTTATACATAAAGTTAAAACCATGATTGTTTGAAAAGCATAATAATTTCATATTGAGAAATGCGTGATTTCAATCTTTCGTTTGATTGGTTCATAGTTGGTGAGGATGATGAAGGTATTGTTCCGCAACAAGTTCCTGACTAAGTTCAGGATTAAATTGAAGATAGGTGACCTCCTCTGGTGTAAAGCTTTGGAATAACGTATCGGTGTAGTAATTTGGTTGGGAGAAAGCAACCCGGGTTTGCGAGGCAACTGGAAATGGCCGTTGTGGTATTGTATATGGTTGATACGATGACAAACGAGTGGAAACGTTGGTGGACCTTGCACGAGAAGATGGTTGATATTTGTAATTCGGAAATTTGGCGGAATGTAATCGGTTAACTTGCGTGGCAAGATTTTCATATGCATTCTTTTCCTCGGGCGAAGCGTCACGCCATAACATCCCTGTCACTTTGCTGATGACGCGCATGTTGCATATTCCATACCGCCCGGCCTCCCTGTTGACGTTCTTGCGACAAAGAAGGAATCCATTTGGCGGTCTCTTGACGTGATTACTTGAACTTAAATTAATCAAATCTTCTGGCCTATTATAATACGGTGGGAATATTCTGCTTCGGTCCAGATTGGACATCAATTTTCGCGCTAAATCATCCATGGATGAGGATAAAACCTCAATCGGCATTTTGTCAAGGAAAAGAATTCAAACTTATCGATTCTAATGGGTAAACAGTTTTTCTGGGATTTTATATTGAAAAAAATTTTCTTTGTCGGAGTGAATAATCCGAACAAGCGTCTAGCCAAACAATTCACTAGTTAGGTTTGGTTTTTGAGGTGACATGATGATGTAGGGCACAGACCTTTAAGTTGATTATGAGATGCTTCAAGCCTGATCACGAGCAATGAACATTTGACCACAAGTGGGTGGACCTGGGGGCTCTCTTGAATTCAATTTAGACTATCTTATCCGCAGTATCGTTCTGTATTCAACATAAAAATTATTGAAAATAATTAATGCAAGTGTGTTACGAAGGTAAACAAAATATTGCCGTATTTTTCTTGTGCACAAACCCCATAATTTTATTTTTTTCACACGGCAAAAATTTACTTATTTCTCGTTTTACGCATGATACACCTTATTGGACACTTATCCGCTTCTAGAAAGAATCCCTGCATACTTATGTCGCACATAGACTCTCATTTGACACAGTGGACAAGTGGAGACGTGATGAAGAATGAAGATGGTACGGTTTTCGCTGGAAGTAAGCAATATGTGATGCATTGAAAGTTGAGAAGAAACACGATCACCTTAAACTCCGACGCGTGTGTCCCTAGGAGTATCGGTTAAAAAAATGATGAAGTCGCGTGTAAAAAGTGGAAGGAAAGGAAAGAAGTGAACAAATTCTATCTTCAAAGATGATTCTTGGCTCCCATCGATTGATGATGATTGATTGATTGAACTTGTGATAATCAGGTTGTGACAATTTACCTGATGACTATATACAATGTATAAGTGTCTCTCATTATTTTTCTTTAAACAACAAGTCTGAGAAATTTGTCATCACACATTTGCTTACTCAGGGATGTATGATTCTTGCGAGAAAAAAATTAAGTTGCATAAATCATGCGGACACACAAATTTCTCTTAATTAACTAATCATTATATTACCATTTTTATTTTAGTTTATTTTATTTACGAACCCAGTTTTTAACATAAGTTCTTGTATCACTGCGCCGTATCCTTCTTTTCCATACTTGCTCTTCAGCGTATTTAAAACATCCATACATAGCTCCATTCATGAAATTGAAATGATCCTTAATTATTGTTCTTTTAGGTGGTTTCCTCGTAGATCTTTTGTGACAACGAAATATTCGCGTTTGTGGTAATTATGAATCATTCGTTTTACGAACGTATAATCATTAAGAGAATGTAGTTATGGCTCTAGAACTCATTTTACATTTACTTTCTTTAATTATGCACTGCATAATCTACGTTACTTACTTTACTTTACCGCCTTTTTTTTTTTTTTTGCACGTGTGACAGATACGTAATGTTTTTATCATCTGACCAGCACGTAAAAGGGAAAATGGCTATGTTTTTACGTAATGAAATATAGTGGGATAAAAATATGAAAATTATAAACTGGAATTGTTCGTGTTTTCCGATACCAAAAATAATCATTCCCAACAAAATCGAGTTAACTAATATGTATTAGGATTATCAGGATATATTAAGGACTGTGCGTAAATTACTTTTTGGTTCATTTTTTCCTAATTATAATTGTATCGCCTTTTTGTGCAACCTATTATATCGAAGTTATTATTTACCTGTTGTAGCATGAAAATCTTTATGAGCTGTTATCAAATAATCAATACAACACCCATATTAAGCATATATAACTTTGTTATTTTACAAATATGCCTTTATTTCATTTATTTTCATTTTTACAAAACAAAATATTTATACTATATACAGTATTACATTTTACTTATTTCACATTTTACTTATTTCACATTTGTATTCATTTCTATTCATTTTGTTTTCTATTTATTTATAAATAACCGTGACCATGTCACATTCTCATAATACGATCGTGCATATATTTTTATTTTTTAAAAAAATTTTTTAAAAAAATTAAATCAGATGACAAAATAAATTATTTCATTTACCTTCTATTTTGTACGTGCAGTGCAAAAAAACGCGTATTCAAAATTATGTAAGGTATTTGGTGTACGTAATGCGTACACGTATTTCATTGATATTTTGTTTAAAAAAAAATTATATAATTACTTGATCGAATAAAATGAATTGCTTTAAAATAGAAACAAAAAAAAATGATTGTTTTTATTTTTATATTATCTATTTGTTTTCATACAAAAAAATAATCTGTCTAAAAATATTTTATCCACTGTACGTCTTTTATATTATAAAAATTCAAATAAATAAATAAATAATCGATTAATTTATACATCGCATACGATATTATGCATATATTCTATTCCAATATACGGATATTGATGAGATGACAAATTAAATTTTTTATTGAGTCAATGGAAATTATTTTTTAACAAAAAAAATACTTTTAAAAATCATGCGATCATAAATAGTTTAAAAATAGTTTTATTATTCTATAAAAGTTTATAATAATGGTTTATTTTCAATAACGAAATATATACAGTATATTGTATATAAGAACAAAATAATATAATATATAAAAACAATAATATAAATATAATATTTTATATCCAATTATTTGTTTAATTCTTTCATTCCTTTAATAAAATTATCGTTGTCATTAAAAAACCTTTTACTATCCTTTTTTATAAACCATTAACATGCTTTAAAATTTACAAATAAAATATGTGAAAAAAAGTTTTCAAATAATTGATTTAAATTAATATAATAATTAATAGCATAATATAGTTTAATGATAATTTATTATTGATAATAAGCTTTAAATATTTTTTTTGAATATAATATTAATATTTTATTAAATTAAATTATAATTAAATTATTGAATTTAAGTTTTATATTTATTGGTTGGTTTTGTAATTATTGAAAATATAATTTTAATTTTTTTAATAATTAAAAATTTGGTTTTGTTTTTTAAAATTCAAATAATATAATATTAAATTTTTTTAATAATTAAAAATTTGGTTTTGTTTTTTAAAATCCAAATAATAAAATTTTTTAATAATTAACTAATAACTTTTTTACAAATTTATTTTTTAAAAAAATATTTTTTTTATAATAACAACCTTTAAAAAAATTCTTTTTAACTTTTTAATACTTTCAAATATGTTTCAATCTTTTTAAATACTTTTTTTTTTAAGTAAGTAAATATCATTTTTTTATTATTTTATAAAAATGTAAAAATTTTATATATAATGAAAATAACAATATCTCTCATATAATTAAATAATTAACAAGTTTAATGTTAACTTGTCTACAGTAAACTATTTAAGTAGTAAAGGAAATAAATATTAAAATCAATACATATTAAAAATAGTATCAAGCAATTATAAACATCTATTTAAAATTATATATTATAAAACTTAAAGAAAATAAAAAATTAAAAGAAAAAATACTATATAAGAAAAAGTATTAAAAAAACTAATTATAAAATCCATAGTATCTAGAATACTATTGATAATTAGATATGTCACTCTAGTAGTTCCACTTCCTTAAAATATAGTTGCACTTGTTAAAATAATCAGGTTACATACCATAGTGTATAATAGTATTGATAATATATTTTCTTAATAACAGATTAAATATAGATGTGTTATTATTGTTAATTTATTTATTAATATTTTAATTATTGTAACAATAATGATTATTATTTTTTTTTTTCCATAATCAAACAAGTATTTATTGTATTTATTTAATCTTTTTTTTAAAAAAGACATAATTATATATATTTGACTTTTATGTATAAACTAACTACTTATACTTGAATATCTGTTTTAGATAATTAATCTCTAGATCTGATCTTGGAGATAAATAAAGTTGTTCCCTCTTATTTTCCATTTCTAAAGAAACTCAAGATCATTATCAGCAGTTCATCACTATAGTTCACTTTGACAAAATCTTGATTACTTTATATTCCTAACTATTTTTTCTCTCTTTTATCTTGTTCCATAATACCTTCATAAGTCTGGATATATGATTTGGACTGGCTGCTGTTAATGACTGAACTGTTCCTATTTTTGAGCTTGAGGAACCTTACTGCAACACTTCTTTCTTCCCCTGAGAGTTTTTGTATACCTATAGATTTCTACTTAGATATGAAAATCTCTTTTTCTTTATCTTTTCCCTGGAAGCTCTTTTTACGTTCTTGGATCTTTTCGTATCTTGGATTCCAGATCAGGTGTCTTATCTTTTTATACCAGAAGCTCGAGAGTTTATTAAGGATTCTCTTGGATATGACTTTGGAAATCTTTAGTAACTGAAGAGTATTGATTCAATCTTCTATGTCTTTTCTTGTCCAGAGGCTGATGGTTATGTTGATTAAATTCTTGGCCAAATCAAATTTTTCTATTTTCTATTTACTAAAGAGTGCATTTATTGCTGACTGCTTTCCTTCCACTTTTTTGTTAGTGTGTTGTAGGATCTATGCCTTTGTAAGTTTGTATTGGGCCTGATGTCATATGTTCTTTTTAAGTTCTCGTATCTCTTTACATGTAAATAAATGATCTAAAGATTTTTTTTTGTTATTGGCAGAATACATATAGGCTGTTGGGTATTTCCAGAAAATTTCTTTTAATCAAAATATCCATTATTAAGAGCTCATTGTGAATTAATCTGGTCTTGAATGTTCTGCTTCTTGCTACTTTAAGAGAGATATTTAAGGATTCTTTGTCTTTGTTGAAATCCCAGAGACCTTTTCAATCAAATTTTTTGGGGTTTTAGATTTCTTTTTTCCATCTTTGCTGGATCTGATTTGTGATGTCCATTGTAGAAGTATTTTCCTTTCATTGTAATCCTTGAGAAATGCACTGGTTGAAATATCAATGGGAATCTTGTTCCACTCTAGTACAGTTATAAGAACCATTGTGGATAGGAGCCTCCAGTGGACTTCTGGTTCCTCCCTAGCCTTTTTAACTAACTGGTTTACCTGATTATTGTTGAAG